ATGGGACCAATTATTGTCACCAGATATTCAACACGAGTGGAGTAAACTAAAGGAAGAATTAAAGAACATAAGTAAAATTAAAATTCCGAGATGGGTCGGCAATACTCAATATTTAGTACAGCTACACGGCTTCGCAGATGCCTCAGAAAGGGCTTATGCGGCCGTAATTTACATCAAAACCTATAATGAGCATAAGAAACCCAGGATACATCTCATAGCAGCGAAAACAAAGCTAGCCCCACAGAAGAAACGTATTACATTGCCACGGCTGGAATTATGTGGAGCTGTTTTGTTATCTAAATTGATGCAAAAGGTTATTGTTTCGATGTCATTAGCTCAGGACAAATTACAAATTCATGGCTGGACGGACTCAATGGTTGTCTTGGGCTGGATTCATGGCAATACTGCAAGATGGAAAACATACGTGGCGAACAGAGTGAATGAAATAATTAAGGTCATACCATCATCCTGCTGGAGGCATACTAAATCAGAGCATAATGCAGCTGACTGTGCCACGCGAGGACTTTCACCATCTCAACTATTATCGTATTCCCTATGGTGGAATGGACCCTCGTGGCTCAAGGAGAACAAAGAGTATCCACCAGAAAAATATGAAGCTCCGGAATTCGAACTGAAGACCAAACCTCGGATATGTGCTGCAGAGACTACTCATTCACCGTTTATCAGTAAGCTTCTATATAAATACAGCTCAGTTACAAAGGCGACCCGCGTGCTATGTCGAGTGTTACGTTTCATAACTAACGCTCGCGAGCGCGTGCGAAACAATAGCAATTTCTATCCAAGTTATATCACTGTGAATGAAATTAAATATGCTACTAAATTAATAATTAAATCAATTCAGTTAGATAACTTTGCGCAAGAGATAGAACAATTAAAGAGAAACGGCAACATTTCACGGAAAAGCGCAATTATAAGTTTAAACCCATTTCTTGACAAAGATGGCATTTTGAGAATGAAGGGAAGATTGCAACATTCTACATTACCTACAACCAGCAAGCAACCGATTGTACTTCCCTATCACTCACGGTTGACGGACCTGCTTATACTGGAAGCTCATCACACTACTTTACATGGTGGAGTTAAACTGACTTTGGCATACATAAGAAACAAATATTGGATTATTAGTGGACAGCGAGCAGTGAAGAAGATTATAGGCCGGTGTACCACATGTGTTCGACTCAATACACAAAAGCGTACACAGATCATGGGTGATTTGCCTACCCCTCGAGTGGTACCATCTCGCCCCTTTACACATACGGGGGGTGGACTTTACGGGACATGTTGAGGTGAAAGCAAATAAGGGTAGAGGCATTAAGACCACAAAAGGGTATATAGCTGTCTTTATATGCCTAACTATAAAAGCCGTTCACCTGGAGCTCGTGTCGGACCTCACTGCGTCAGCGTTTTTAGCAGCATTTAAACGCATGTGCGCTCGGCGCGGCACGCCATTACACGTTTACAGTGACAACGGCACAAACTTCGTGGGTGCGTCACGTGTACTTCAAAGGGAATATAAGCAAGCACTCCAAACAATCAACACTGACTTCCTCGAGAACATTAGCCAGCTGGGAGTTACTTGGCATTTTAACGTGGCTGCGTGGAGCAGTGCGGGCGGCATATGGGAAGCCGCTGTTAAGAGTCTAAAGCACCATCTGAAGCGCGTAGTCGGCCATCAGAAGCTTACCTTCGAAGAATATTCAACGCTGCTTACGCAAATAGAGGCTTGTCTCAATTCAAGGCCTCTATGTTCTTTAACTGAAAACCCAGAAGACATAGATTACCTTTCACCCGGCCACTTTCTTATCGGCGGTCCTATTCTGTCTGAACCATTATCGGATATAAATATTGAAAACGTAAAAACAAGGTGGCAACTAACTGAGAAGATATACAAAGAATTTTGGAAGCGGTGGTCTGCAGAATATTTGCATACGTTACAAACACGAAGCAAGTGGCATATACCTCAGAAAAATATAGAACTGGACAGCATAGTGGTGATGAAGGAAGATAATTTACCCCCTTCTAACTGGGCCTTAGCAAAGGTCATCGATGTGCACCCCGGCAAGGACGGGTATGTTCGCGCTGTGACATTGAAAACTAAACACGGAGTCCTGAAACGGCCTATCACGAAGCTGTGCCCTTTGCCAGTACTCCCTGATCAAGATGAAAAACCGTTGCGCGCGGACAGTGACCCCGGCGCTACTGGGCATACGTCAAAACGCAGTAGAAGTAAGCCTAATTATTTAATTTGTTTGCTCTTACTTATCATCGCAATTATATCGCCGTCGATGCAGCAAACTTACAAAATAACTCAGTTAGAATCAACTAAAGCGTTATATTTTGATCGAGCAGCCGATTTGCAACTTATAGAGAGACATTGGATCATAATTGTATACTACAACATGTCAACATTCTGGAAAAACATTCAAAAGGTGGAAAGATATTTAAACCATTTATACAACATCTGTAATGAAGAAGGTACATGCACTGCCACACTTGCTCAGTTCAGACACGAGTTGGACGAGATAGAACATTACAATAATATGTTAAAATTTGCACCTCATTCCAAGCAAGAAGAGGTTTGATTAATGGTGTGGGAAGATTGAGCAACTACTTATTTGGAATTTTGGATGACCAATTCGCTGAAAAATACTCTAAAGACATAAAATTAATCCATCAAAACGAAGTCTATCTGCAAAAATTACTTAAAAATCAAACTACAATAATAGAAGCGGAAAATAATATAATACAGAGAAATGAATACATAATGAATAAGCAATTCACAAGAATCGAAAAACAAATAAAGAATTTTTCGACTGAAGTTCAACAAGTAAAACAGCGAGCCATAAACATATTTTATTTTACTACGCATGTTGTTACGCTTGACGTCATTTTATCAAATTTAAGAAGAATACAGGACACCCTAATTAATACTGTAACGAACATATATCACGGTAGACTCGACGTACACTTGCTTTCTCCGGCACAATTGCAAGAACAGTTAAACGTCATATCGAGACATGTTCAAGGAGAGTTTTTAGTCCCCGTCAACGTGCAAAATATTAAGGAATTATTCAAAATGCTACAAGTAAAGGCAAGAATAACCGAAGATTACGTCATAATTGAAGTGAAGGTGCCACTACTGAGTACTGACACTTATGAACTTAATAGAGTCATACCTATACCGCAAACAAGAAATTTGAACTCTATCTACGTCATACCTTCTACCGACTACATAGCATTCAATTTACGAAAAGATACCTTTATGTCGGTGATGGAAAATGATTTACAGCTCTGCATCAGATACAACGACGTCAACCTACTATGCCCCATTACTAGTCCCTTATACGAACTTAAAGTGGGTCAGTCTATATGTGACGTAAAAATGATCACGGACGACAGCAATCAAACATGTTGTCGTAGAGAAACAAAGGAGTGCCCCGACAGATGGATTAAATTACACTCTCGTGACTCCTGGCTGTACACATGCTGCGAAGAATGCAAGATCCGCATATTATGCCCGTCCGGGCTGGCGACGAGAAGTCTGCGCGGCAGCGGCCTTATCAGTATAGGTCAAGATTGCATTCTTAAAGGAGACACATTTTCTATACAAGGTCATCGTGACTACAGGAGTGAAATATATACAGGAAGTTTTGACATCGGGAGTATGGCTGAAGAGTCCATATTGAACTCTGTCATTAACACATCGATTAATCAGCTGCCATTCGTCGCTGAAAATCACAATAGTACATTTTGGAAAATCAAGGGGCAAATACAAGACTTGCTGAATCAATCTGATGAAGGGATGTCAAATGAAGACATACACCACTATGTTATGATATATATACTGTACTTCATAGTAATCGCAGTAATAGTAACGGCAGTTATCTACATGTATAGAAGAAAATTATATTATATCCCCACGGCGAGGCCAGCCGACGCGACTCCCGCGGCCCCCGCGCCTGGCAGCCCGCCACCGCAGCCGATCGAGCGCCGTGTACTCAGCGGTCCGCGTACACAGGATAAGACTACATCCACAATGTTTGACAAGATTATCAAGTTCGAATGTAAAATAGACGAATAATATTTTCGTATTTTATATACTTTACAGATTTTATTCTCTTTCTTTTGTTTTAGGTTTGGCAATATGTACGAGTAAACCCGTACATTTTTATATGTTAGCGTAATTGGAGCGCGAGCTCGTGTTTGACGTCATTTTAATGCATTGTACATATTATGTTTTCTTTTATAATAAATTCAGTACCATTCGCAAGGCGTTACAGTTAACAGTGTTTTATTTTGCATCCTACAATCTCAGTATTTGAGTGGTACTCCTTAACAGCATTTAATCTTGCATTGCACTGCATTACATATTTGCATATTTACGTACACACCTTTGGCTGGTAGCGTAGTATTTCATTAACTGCTTAATTTTTATTTCATTCATGACCAAGCTTCAATAATTTTTTTTATCTTCTTACTCCCCTTGAGTGTCCTGCCGCGAAGTTTATCGTGTTGACAACGTTGCTGGGAGCACGTTACCTCCCACTCGCTACTTGGTAAGCACGCCTCCACGGTTCGACGTTGCCTCTTTCGGCTATTTTCAGAAAGTAGCCCAGCTACGTATACCCCATCATCCGTCGATATCTCGTTCTCACACTATGAAAGCATTCCATGGCTAATTCCTTAGACCTGCCACGCCCTTCTCGCATTACACATTTTCTTCCTTATCCTATCAAGTTCACGTGTCCATCCTTCATAGCCTTCCCGCTTCGGGTGTGTGCGGGTGAGCAGACTTACGTCGTTAGCGTGGTGCGTGTAGAAGGCGTGCGCCTGCGCCAGGCAGTGATGCGCGAGGATGCGATGGGGCGGGTGTGTGCGGGTGAGCAGACTTACGTCGTTGGCGTGGTGCGTGTAGAAGGCGTGCGCCTGCGCCATGCGGTGGTGCGCGATGGCGCGATGGGGCGGGTGAGCAGACTTACGTCGTTGGCGTGGTGCGTGTAGAAGGCGTGCTCCTGCGCCATGCGGTGGTGCGCGATGGCCCGATGGGGCGGGTGTGTGCGGGTGAGCAGACTTACGTCGTTGGAGTGGCGCGTGTAGAAGGCGTGTGCCTGCGCCATGCGGTGGTGCGGGATGGTGCGATGAGGCGGGTGTGTGCGGGTGAGCAGACTTACGTCGTTGGCGTGGTGCGTGTAGAAGGCGTGCGCCTGCGCCAGGCAGTGTTGCGCGAGGATGCGAGCGGGCGGGTGTGTGCGGGTGAGCAGACTTACGTCGTTGGAGTGGCGCGTGTAGAAGGCGTGCGCCTGCGCCATGCGGTGGTGTGCGATGGCGCGATGGGGCGGGTGTGTGCGGGTGAGCGGACTTACGTCGTTGGCGTGGTGCGTGTAGAAGGCGTGCGCCTGCGCCATGCAGTGATGCGCGATGGTGCGATGGGGCGGGTGTGTGCGGGTGAGCGGACTTACGTCGTTGGCGTGGTGCGTGTAGAAGGCGTGCGCCTGCGCCATGCGGTGGTGTGCGATGGCGCGATGGGGCGGGTGTGTGCGGGTGAGCAGACTTACGTCGTTGGCGGGGTGCGTGTAGAAGGCGTGCGCCTGCGCCAGGCAGTGATGCGCGAGGATGCGAGCGGGCGGGTGTGTGCGGGTGAGCAGACTTACGTCGTTGGCGTGGGGCGTGTAGAAGGCGTGCGCCTGCGCCATGCGGTGGTGCGCGATGGTGCGATAGGGCGGGTGTGTGCGGGTGTGTGCGGGTGAGCAGACTTACGTCGTTGGCGTGGTGCGTGTAGAAGGCGTGCGCCTGCGCCATGCGGTGGTGTGCGATGGCGCGATGGGGCGGGTGTGTGCGGGTGAACGGACTTACGTCGTTGGCGTGGTGCGTGTAGAAGGCGTGCGCCTGCGCCATGCGGTGGTGCGCGATGGTGCGATGGGGCGGGTGTGTGCGGGTGAGCAGACTTACGTCGTTGGCGTGGTGCGTGTAGAAGACGTGCGGCTGCGCCATGCGGTGGTGTGCGATGGCGCGATGGGGCGGGTGTGTGCGGGTGAACGGACTTACGTCGTTGGCGTGGTGCGTGTAGAAGGCGTGCGCCTGCGCCATGCGGTGGTGCGCGATGGTGCGATGGGGCGGGTGTGTGCGGGTGAGCGGACTTACGTCGTTGGCGTGGTGCGTGTAGAAGACGTGCGGCTGCGCCATGCGGTGGTGTGCGATGGCGCGATGGCGCGGGTGTGTGCGGGTGAGCAGACTTACGTCGTTGGCATGGTGCGTGTAGAAGGCGTGCGCCTGCGCCATGCGGTGGTGCGCGATGGTGCGATGGGGCGGGTGTGTGCGGGTGAGTGAGCAGACTTACGTCGTTGGCATGGTGCGTGTAGAAGGCGGGCGCCTGCGCCATGCGGTGGTGCGCGATGGTGCGATGGGGCGGGTGTGTGCGGGTGAGCAGACTTACGTCGTTGGCGTGGTGCGTGTAGAAAGCGTGCGCCTGCGCCAGGCGGTGGTGCGCGAGGCGCGGGGCGGCGGCGGGTAGGCGCGCGGCGTGCAGCCAGCCCAGCGACGCCAACTGCACGTGTTTCGCCTCCAGCCGCGACCACGCCGCCTCGGCGCCGTTGCACCCGCCTGCACGCACACACACACGCTTTACACAGTTATCTACCGTGAGTAAATCTTTGTTTTAGAGAGCACGAGGGATCTTTGACAGTAAACACCTGGCTGCCGAGCTCCAACACATAAAGCAAGTTTTGCATGACAACAAGCTTCGGGTCCCGCCCCTACGTCACAGTGAACGAGTGAAGCCGGCCAAAGTCGAGCGTGTACCTGCTGTACCGCCATATATCAGAGGAGTCACTGACAAGATTCGCTACATCTTGAAGCGCGCTTCAATTAAAACATACTTCAAGCCGCAGAAGAAGATCGGTCAGTTTTTACCATCAATCAAGTGTAATGTCCCTCTGCAAGATACAGGAGTGTACAAGCTTGATTGTGAATGTGGTGTCTCTTACATAGGATAAACTAAAAGATCAATTAAAACCCGCGTTAAAGAACAAGCTGATGTGAAGAATCGACGCTCCGGGAAGTCTGCAGTCTGTGAACACGTACAGGATCGCTTCAGTCACTACATCAGATTTGATAGACCACACATCTTCGCTAAAGAACACCGATTCCTTACGAGGATGATTCAAAAAGAAATCAAAAACATCCTAATTTCAATAGAGAAGATGGCTGGGCGCTACCATCTGCTTGGGATCCCATAGTTAATAAAATTAAATCCCAAGCCAAGCAAACAGCTGCAAGACTTCAAGATACGGGGGGGTGGGTTTTTTTTTTTTTTGGTGTGGTTGTTTTTTTTCCTGTGGGGGGGGGCTGGGGGGGATTTTTGGGGCTGGCCGTTTTCATAATTTCACGGTGTAGATCGGAACAAAATTAATAATTTTAATATGTGGTAACCGCGGTTAAATATGACATCTGGATGTTGAACATCTCAGTCCCCCCATGACCATGGGTGCAGTAAAGTGCTCGAAAGGTCGGGAATATTAAAAAAAAATAAGCGATACAATCCGTAAAACCAGTATTATTTAAATGAGTAACATTTAATGTTAGCGTAAATTTAAGAAATCATAATGCGTATTTGTTTGACTTCGCATTCATTGATGATGTATCTTATTTGATTTATATTGAAGTCGGTTGAACAATTTTTTTTATTTTACCATTTGTTAAATATTAATTCGCCAAACTACAAAGCAGTTTATTTATAGGTTATATATTTTTCAAAATATTAACTTCAAAGTTTATTGGTAAAGCCAGAAAAAATATAATCCATACGATACTTTTAAAAATATATAATGATTTATGTAACTTTTCCTATCATTTATATTTTTACAGGACGAAAACTTATATCGTACACCCGTACGTGCAGCTCCGTCCCGTGGCTACTTGTCGCGGCGCATGGGATCTGGTCATACCCTGCAGTCGGACCCTACAAGACGCGGTGACTTCTACGTCGAGCTACGGGTGTGTAACACTTGCATGGGTTAACTACCAACCGAGTACCAAATAATAAATTAATATTACATCCACAACCTAAGCGTTTGCTTTTATTTTATAATATCCGCAATCAATAATTGTAAGTGACGTGTATTAGCTGTCTGTCTGTTCATGTGTAGCGTCGCTCAGTAAACAATATTATAGGAGTCTGCAGCCCGAACCGAGCGCAGCGAGCTGAAGTGAACTCTAGCATACGCGTACACTATGCTCTTTCTGTTTTGCATTGGAAATCTATTCTAACGTCAGTTAATCAAAGATTTTAGCTGATTATCGTTTATAAATACATAAGATCTATTATTTTACTAACACACATACATTCGTAAGGGTCGCTCAGTTACAAAATTTAGGTACCTTGTCGCGCGTCTTTCCGCGTCCTTCTCTTCCGTTAACCGTTACATCGCTAGGTACCTACGTCTGCTGGGCCGGCCGGCAGCTGACAGTGTTGACCATGATCTCGTTACGTGCAAGTATGCTACTGCTACTTTTAAATTCTCTAAAAGTAGTTGTGTGACTTCGTTACCAATGACGGAACGAAAATATTCAAACCACGAAAAGTATTGAAAGTATAAAAAATAATTTAAGAAAACGTGCCCGTCTATGTCTATGCGTAGGACGAAAGGGATTCAATTTTAAGGTACTAATGTTAGTTATTGTAACTGCTTGCGTAAGTTAGTTGTAAATAGTTTATTCATTTTTTTAAATACGGCATAGTAATGACAGTCGTCGGTTATGCCATTGATAAAAAAATATTCTTTTTTTTTATTTATCATGAAGAGTCTAAGCCTGTTCAAAGTGTGAAAGGAAAATAGGAATCATAATTCGCGTCGTGTAGTTATCAACTTAAGCATTAGTAATAATTTTTACAAGTGGTGGAGCTGCGCTGCAGCTATATTATAGATATAGCTGTAGCACGAATGGGTCTGCTCGACCGGGGGAAGGACCATGCTCCCACAGAATACCAGCGTAAAATAGCAGGCTTAATGCTGCTGTGTTTCGTACGGTGAGTGTAGAGAACCGGAGACTCTTTTTACTGGAAACGAGGTATTCCATCTTAGTCCTCGCGGATGACAATGCATCTGCATTTTAATTCGTAATCGCTAATAGATGTAGACGTGTATGGACCGCAGTAACCACTTACCGTCAGGTGGACTGTGTGCTCGTTTGTCACCCTATCGTATAAAAAAACAATTCACTGTAGGTAAAAACTTGAGAAAAAAAGCTTGAATTGGATCGCACACACACCATAAATCACATTCAATTTCGGATAATTTCAAATAAAACTTTATTTATTCGTATTTTTAAAACTGTAATATCGTTTATGCATATGTTATGTAATGATATCATTATTCATATATTTGAACTTAAATATAAAATTCGATTACTCTGATAAATAACCCTGTATATAAAAAGTGAAATAGATCAAACTTGCAATACTTTACAAGATTATTTATTTAGTCATGTTATTATTGCAATTCGAAAGGCCCTTCATTAAAATAACTTATTAGGAAGATACTCCATCCATAATTAAGTAATTACTTCTTTAGCCATTACATGATCTGGATTTCAGTATGTAAATTCATACAACTAGAATACAAAAGGTTAAACACGCATAATGTTTGAGTACTCACCGAGTATATGGTAGAGGCTGATGAGCAGTAACTTCACGTGGAAATTGGCGGGCGAGTTGTACAGTGTGAACTCTAGCAGACTCAAAGCCTCTACGATAAGTGACGCGTCTTGTTCTTCGATCGCTGAAACCAACAATTACAAATTATAATTATTTTAAACATTAAAATCATGTTAAAATTATCGAGACTAGAATTTATTCAGTACAGAGAATCTATAAGTAACGCTAAGAAGTATTAATGATCGTACATAGATGGCGCAAAGGTATGGGACGTTGTGATCATATGAATTCCTTCGAACGAGGCCCACTTCCAATATTAAAGATATTAAAAATTAATGAGGTAGTGTATCCGCGGAAAAAATAAAAATGGTGTGTTTAACACGGTTCACATTTAATGGCAATAATGTGTTTCTTATTAGACAATATATAAAAAAGAAAATCCTCTGTTAATCCCGACGCTACTACTCTCAACACCACTAAAATATGAAAGACACCATTGTCGATAAAACGACACGGGTTTCGCCCCTAAACGAGGCTTCATCAGGAGAGACTGCTGAGTAAGCGTTTAGCAATCGCAGTATCTTTCCTAACGTGGTAAAAAAACTACTTTCTTTCAAACAGTATTCAATTAATAAAATTAAGCTACTTATTACTTAAAATAATAAAAAGGCGTTTCACAGTGTACTTACACGATATTTCACCATTTTAAATTATAATGTATTAAGTATAGTCCGAAACAAAAAGCATCATCGATTTAACAAATGGTATTTTTAGTATTATACATATTATTATACATACTAACAGTATTATAGTCACCACACACGGTTAGTTAAAATTATCAGTTGAACTGACGTACATCCAAAAACTGATCGTGAGTGTGAAATCTTAAGTTCAAATTTTTAACTGATGGCACTCCACGGAGTTCCCGAGCTCACCGAAATCCTCATCGGAGGCCAGGTTTAAATTTCAAATGCGGGTTTTATATAATAGACCCGCTGGTGGCGAAATATATGAGCAGATGCGCGAGTCACGCAATGAATTTAAAAGTAGACTCAAATGGTGCATAAACAACAATTGACAAAACAAGACCAGACAAGACGAAATCAAAATTGACCAAACAGCGAAATTGCGAGCAGATAAAAAATTTGATAAATTTTGGAAGTCCACTAGTAAACTCGAGATTAGGCCTGGCCTGCCGGCCAATTGGTGATGATAGAGTGAGTGATGTTAATGTAAACAACATTAGTTACGCGGACGACATGGTGCTGCTGGGCTACGAGTGCTCTCAGAGAAATGTTGAACGTATGTGAGAGCTATGCTAAGTCGCATGGTCTGGCCTACAATGTCAGAAAAACCGAATTTATGGTATTTAAGGCCGCCGGTAAGTGTCCCGAATTCATACCTCCAATTTGCCTCGGTGGAGTGGAGCTGAACAGAGTTTCCCAATTTAAGTACCTGGGCCACATACTTACCGACAACTTTAGAGACGATTTAGACATAGAACGAGAGCGTAGGGCTTCGGCGGTCTGGGGTAATATGCCAGCCCGTAGATTCGCTCGTAGTACGGATGAAGTCAAGATTACGGTTTTTAAAGCATTTTGTCAGAACATGTACACGAGCGGTCTGTGGGTCAGCTACACCAAAGGATCGTTAAACACCCTGCCTGTCCAATATAATAATATCTTCAGGATTGATGTTGAAACTTCCTTGTTTCTGCAGTGCATCTAAAATGTTTGCGCAGGCGAGAACGGATGGTTTTCAGGCACTCATACGCAAGAAAGTGACGTCACTGATAAGCAGCATCCTAGCAAGAGTGACAACAGCATCCTGAGGACGGTGGCAGATGATCCACGTGCACCTGTATTAAAGAGCTACTTGCGGACAATGTCCGAATTCGTAAAATCTTCAAATTAAATTATTATACTTATTATAGTACTACTAACCCTCTTACTATTACAATTAATTAAAAATTGTGCACTTATCTGTGTTATCTAACATAAAACAATACAAAAACTTTATTATTTTAGAAAACTCAACATTATCAAACAAATCAAATAAATATTTTATTAATTCTAGACTTGTTTATCATTTTGTACAATCTTCAGCAATCATTTAATAGTACTGTTAGGCGCCTTAGTCGATCTCACAACAATTAAGCAACGTGTTTTGAAATGTGGACAGGAGGAACTTTTTATGGAAGGTGCGTTACCAGGGAACGTGCACAGCATTAAGAAGATTGTTCTTCCGCCGAGATCAGAAACGATTGTGCCGGTTAGTCTTCCTCGAAACGCTGGGCAAGCTCACCGTTGTGTACTTGTGGAAAGGGTAAACAATGACCTTCCATGGAAAGTAGCTCGAATCTTGGTCAGGACCACTGACATCTCAGGTGTACGTGTGCTGAACCTTTGTGACCAGGAACAGATTATAGAAAAAGGCACGCTGGTTGGTAACAGCCACCGGTCAGCGACCAAGAAGACTGCCGGTAGCACGTGAAAAGGAAGTAGAAACCGTGATTGAAGGAATGGGGAAGGATGGTGTTATTGAACCTTCCTCTAGTCCATGGTGTTCACCCGTAGTGCTGGTAAAGAAGAAGGATGGCAGCATGCGGTTTTGTGTTGACTACCGCCGTCTGAACGACGTTACGGCAATTTAAGGTAATGCCGTTTGGGTTGTGCATTTGCTCCAGCAACGTTTGAAAGGCTGATGGAACTTGTCTACTTGGATGACATAATCATCGTGGGCCGTACGTTTGAGGAACACCTTCAAAACCTGGAACGTGTGCTCATGAAGATTCAGAGTGCCAACCTCAAGTTGAGTCCGAAGAAATGTTCACTATTCAAACGGCAAGTCAACTTTTTGGGGTATGTAGTATCGGAAGAAGGTATCCGCACGGATCCAGAGAAAATAGCAGCTGTCAAGGATTGGCCGGTTCCAAAAGACAAGACGCAGGTTAAGGCACTTTTGGGTTTGTGCTCCTATTACCGGCGATTTGTGAAGAACTTTGCAGATATAGCCAAACCTCTGCATAAGCTAACCGAGGAGAAGCGACATTTCTGCTGGGATGAAAGTTGCAATATCGCATTCCAGGAGCTCGAGGACCGTCTGTGCAAAACACCTATTTTGGGACATCCTGATGCAAGCAAAGAATTTATAGTTGACACGGACGCAAGTGATATAGAACTTGGCGGTGTGTTGTCTCAACGGAATGGTGACAAAGAGGTCGTGATAGCGTACTTCAGCAAGTCATTGTCAAAACCGGAAAGGAACTATTGTGTCACAAGACGCGAATTGCTAGCGGTCGTAAAGTCATTGCAGCATTTTAGCAAATATCTTCTGGGGCGGAAATTTCACTTACGAACTGACCATGCTGCACTAAAATGGCTATTGCAGTTTAAAAATCCAGAAGGACAAGTTGCGAGGTGGATTGAACTACTGCAGGAATATTACTTTGAGATCGAACATCGCAGCGGGAAATCTCATGGCAACGCAGATGCATTATCACGAAGACCTTGTCCTGAAGATTGCAAACATTGTACTAGGCAGGAGAGTAAGGAAGTGGTATCCGTGAGGATGCCCAGGACAGACCACCTCAGCAACGAGTGGAAGGACAGCTTACAACATGCACAGCAGGAAGATCCGGACAGTAAGCCGATTCTGTAATGGATGGAGGCTAAGGAAGTCCAAGCTCCCAAGCCCAAGTGGAGCGACGTCTCAGCGATGAGTTCGACCACTAAAAGCTATTGGGCCCAATGGGACAGCTTGCTGCTTCAGGATGGAGTTCTGTGCCGTAAATGGGAAAATGTTCGGGGAGTCAGCTGTCACTTGCAAATGGTTGTCCCTAAAGCTAAAGTACCGGATGTTCTACAGCTGTACCATAATGATTGTTCCGGTGGCCATCTGGGAGTTAAACAAACTCTACTAAAGATCCGAGAACGGTTTTACTGGGTCCACTGTCGAAACGATGTCGAGGACTGGTGTCGCAAATGTACAAGTTGTGCGGCTGTAAAGGGACCTCAGACTCGTAGTAGAGGTGCATTGAAGTTGTACAATGTTGGTGCACCATGGGAGAGAATAGCCATTGATGTGGCGGGGCCGTTTCCGGAGAGTGAAGGCGGTAACAAGTATTTCATGGTTGTGATGGATTACTTCACTAAGTGGCTAGTAGTCTTCGCCATTCCAAATCAAGAAGCTTCAACAGTTGCAGATAAACTAGTTCATGAAGTCTTCTGTCGTTTTGGAGTACCTTTAGAGATTCACAGCGATCAATGAAGGAATTTTGAATCTCAAATATTCCAGGAAACTTGTCGAGTTATGGGTACTCATAAAACAAGAAAGACTTCTTATCACCCGCAATCTGATGGAATGGTAGAACGATTTAATCAGACATTGGAGAGGTACCTAGCAAAAGTTGTAGACAATCGGCAACGAGATTGGGACAAGCACATACACCGTTTTTGTTGTCATATCGAAGCGCTGTTCACGAAAGTACAGCAGTGACACCAGCTTTCGCAAACTTTGGAAGAGAATTACGGCTGCCTGCAGACCTGATCACCGGGATACCACCTGATGCTCCACGTAGTATAACCGATTATGCAAATGACTTGCGGAACAAAATGAATGACATTTATGAGCACGTCAGACAATCGGGCCAGCAAATGTCTGAAAAGATGAAAACCCGGTACGACCGCAAAATGAACAACAAAGGGTTCGACGAAGGTTCACTAGTGTGGTTGCATAATCCCGTCCGCAGCAAAGGGAAATCTGCTAAGCTTCAAGCTAAATGGGATGGCCCGTACCGGATTGTGACCAGGATCAACGATGTAACCTACCGGATACAGAAAAGCGCAAGAGGGACTCCTAAGATCGTCCATGTGGATCGCCTGGCGCGTTATTATGGGGCCGATAATGCTCGGGACGAGCATGTCTTAGGAGGAGGGCAGTGTTACGCGCCTTAGTCGACGGCACTAGCGCCTAGTTGAAACTCGAACTCTCGGTACCTTGCGCGTGTTTACTTGAATATTCTGGATATTTCCGTGCTAATTTATATAAATAGGCACTGCAAGATGCGATCGAGGAAGTATTGAAGTTGGCGAGACAAGCGAAGCTTCGGAGCGGAATAAAGTGAATCAGTGTGATTAATTATTAGTGTTTTTAACTTTAATTAGTGTAAAGTAAATTAAAGTGTTAATTTAGGTAATTCTATCGGCAATTTTTATTGTCACGAACCTCAAGCTCGTAACAGTACTACTTTACTTACTGTGTGTTTTGGCGGAAACTTGATCATCGACGGATTATTGCTCCTGTTTTATCGTTTAAATAATGGTTTGAAGTGGATTTCGATACGTAAAATTTTGTGCGATTGCGATTTGGCGCATTAAGTGTAGTCTGCGCATGTGAACTAATAGAGAAAACGACGAAACAAGTGCTTCGATGTTAATATAAACCTCAAGTTATTTTGATCGCTTAGGCATCTTATGACCTTCAGTCACTGTCGTCATCGACAGTCTGCTGGGTAGACAGTTTACTCCCGTTTTATCAGAAATAGCTGTTAAATATTTGATTTCTTCAGCTACATCCGTAGCACTTGTGCTTCCAACATATAAAAGTCTAGAGATGGGCCGAATATGGATTTCACCGAATACGAATATTCGGCCGAAAGTTCGGTAACACTTTTACCGAACCGAATATTCGGCCAAACATTATT